TGTTAACTATAGTTCTAGATCCAGTTTTTTACGGGCTTTCATTTGGTATAAAATTCATTCGGTACCTGCTTTAGAATGACGTCGCTACCCCCCTGGAAAAAGGTTATGCAACACCCTGTACACCATGAAGCATCCACGGATACATTAAATGATTTAATTGATTATGCAAGTTTAACAACATATTATACAATCGATGCTGAAGATCAAATATAACCTCCATCCCATCGATCAAAAGCTGCTTTAATTCAAATCGAATTTATTAATTTAAATGGTCCATCTATTATCATTATTATTGAAACTTTACATTTACCACCTGATAATTCTCAAACGTTTAAAAAGATAAAACAATTATTCAAAATTATATTCTCAAAAGTTCATCATGTTTATTCTTGGGGCGAATTAAATGATGAACTTGAAAAATTTTTGCAATTCAATTTATTCGATACAGATGATACTCATCAAGTAACACCAAGCAATACACAAAAGGTCTTTACACAATGGTACAACAAAAATCATCCAACATCCATTTATCGTAAAGAAAATAATAATGATAAATATTCATTACAATTAGCCATCTATTTGATTTTCAATGAATTATTAAATAAAAGAATGAGCTTAGCCAATTGGGGATGTGGCATCGATATAAAATTACAAACATTTGTTCCAAAAAATCTTATTAAACATAAAGAACATCAAATGATCGAAGATGAAAAACACTTTCGTGAACTAATAACAATTTACGCATTGAACGATTGTTTTTCGGTCACAAAACTTGCACAACATATAAAATCATCGAATCGATTAACACCACCACCTACAATTTTATATAATGATATGCCCGAACCTAATGTCGAACAAGGAATAATAAATGATAATGAACAATCAATTGATTTAAGTCCATTAGATGATGATAATATACATGATGAACCATCACATGATGTATTAACAGGGGTTCATGCACAAGATGAACCTTATGAAATGATAAGTGATGATGATTTAGATGATATTTCTTTACCAGAAATAATGAAAGTCCATTTACCTCATGCAAAACATTATTCAAATGAACATGAAACACCACAAGATGAATTATTCGATTATAATCATAGAGACGAAGTTCATGTGAGAGAGGAACCTTTAAATGAAATTGAAATGATTTCCGACGACGATATCAAACAAAATACAATGAATAATCAACATCAACATCAACAACATGCGTATCGTAAAGTATTAACAAGAAATCAAAGAACGAATTTGAAGAAATGAGCTAAACGATATCGTTATGAAATAATTCGAAAAGTTTATCATAGATTTACCATTAGCAATGTAAAAAAAATTTTAATATTTATGAATATTTCTTACGTGAACATCAATGTCGTCGGAAATACGTTATTCTTAGGTGTAAAGAACGAACAAATAAGAAAAGAAGCTGATGAAACATTACACAGTGGCTTATTCACGGAAAAACATTATCATCATATCCGTAAGAAACTACATCTCGAACAGTAAAAAAAAAAATTTTATTTTAGGCCAAACTTTTTCATTTTCTTTGTTTCTTTTCGATAAACCGTCAGTTTTATTTGCTGAAACATCTATTAGTTTTTCTTTCTCTTTATTTTCTTTTTTTTTATATTATTTTTTTTGTCTTGTTTCGTTTTTATATATATAGTTCATCGTTATATTGCTATGTTGTTAATCATGTGTGCGGACACACATCTTCTAAAATGGGGGTCGACTGTTACGGGCTTGCCCTTCACATCGTTCCACTCTATTTCATTTCTTTTCTTTGATCTGGTCATATGCCACATCTATCGATATATATATACCCCTGGAAAAAAATAGATTTAGTCCGTATTTGACTTATATTGTCACTACGACAACATATTCTTTTAAAACCAATTACATATTCTGAAAGTCCGTGGAGTTTTCTATAATCCTGTATATTTATGTTGAAGTTTGTACTTTGTCATTAGAAAAATAAATCGAGTACAATGAAGACACCCTCATATCCAGATTCCCAAAAACAAAATTTTGTTACTATCATGAAAATTAGTTTTTAAACTTTTTTATCATTAGAGCAGTATCTTTTTAAAAAAGTAATTATATATTCTGATAGAGCTTGAAACTCTCTATCACCCTGTATATTTACTTATTTCATTGTACTCATCTATCGAAAAGAAAATTTGAGTACAGTAAGCATACCGTCAAATGATAAGGATCGAAAATGTGCAATGTTCGTTGCTTCTAGAGTCCTCTTTTTAAATTTATTATTCGTATAGAAAAATTTACTTTTAAAAGTAATCACAGATTCTGATAGAGCTTGAAATTCTCTATCATCCTGTATACTTGTTAACTATTTTGCAGTTATGTGCTGGAGAATAACTCGAATATTATGTCGACATGCTCCTTGACAAGCTCTAAAAAGAAGTAGCTTTTTTACTACATATCTCGTTTTTTGTTTCAGAAGTACACGATGATAGAGAATTTCAAGCTCTATCAGAATATATAATTACTTTTTTAAAAAGATACTGCTCTAATGATAAAAAAGTTTAAAAACTAATTTTCATGATAGTAACAAAATTTTGTTTTTGGGAATCTGGACATGAGGGTGTCTTCATTGTACTCGATTTATTTTTCTAATGACAAAGTACAAACTACAACATAAATATACAGGATTATAGAAAACTCCACGGGCTTTCAGAATATGTAATTGGTTTTAAAAGAATATGTTGTCATAGTGACAATATAAGTCAAATACGGACTAAAGCTATTTTTTTCCAGGGGTATATATGAATACATATGCAGGCAGGTGACTGAAATAAGAGTTTCGTCGAGAAAGATTGCAGTTATCATCTAAACAGAAAATGGCTTGAATTCCATCGAGATTTTAAAAGTTTGCGGTTGCTTCATTGATCATTACTGAATACTTTACATCTCACATTTTTCTGAAAAATGCAAAATATACTAGTAATGTCTGAGTGATTGAAGCCGAAGCCGAGCAAACAATTGTGTTTTAGATGGTTCGCAATAAAAGTTTGGCAAGCTATACAACAATAGGAATATAAAAAAATTCTCATCTTGTTTCTGATACAAAATTTGGAGGAAGCCAGAGAGACTAATACAACTCTCACAAATTTTTCGCACGAATAATATGCTTAACTTTAAACCAGTTTAGTGGGTTCTCTGTAAATTAATGTTTCGAGAGAGGGGTGTGAATGTGGGTGAACGTTTGTGTGGGCATGGGTGTTATTCTCTTCATTGTAATTCATACCCACATCCTTCTGGGAAAATCCACGCTGAAGTGTATTCCAATATAAATGTTGCTACTTTCAGTGGAAATGTAAACTTCATATCTCAACAAGAAATCCACAGAAACCCATATTCTTTTAGTATTTTTCTAGTTTCACTAAGACCTACATATGGGCAAAATATCATACCTAAAGCGGAACTTCAACTCGGAAAGTTCTCTCGTAAGTAATGCAAAACTGAACAAACATTTTCCACTAAGACTTTTGCGCCAGATGTTATAGATATGATCATGTTTGATCTGATTGGTTTTCATATGCAATCCTATTCACTTGGTTCATCAAATTTCACACGACAGATGTCTGTTTAAAATCACTTTTTCTACTTCATTCAGTAATGTAGAATGAAATGTCGAACATGTTTCTTTCTATTTCAAATTTTTAAATGAGCAATTTCATATCAAACAGCTTCGATATGCGACATGATTAACAGATACGAAAAGACAAATTGCATACCATCCTACACGCCATAATTTACGATTATCAGTTCATCTTTTTAAGCTAATATAAAAATAATTTCATGATATATTATCGATGAGAAATTAGGAAAATAGTTTCATGACGGTGTTTATTACAACCGAAGTCATAATACTTTTTAATGTACGTCGGAGCGACTTTGTTTTGTTGAAAATATAAACCTTGTACATCATAGTAATCGAAAAATGTAATAATCAATCATATATTGATCATGTGCTAAATGTCACGCAAATGATTTATTGATTAGAAAAAGAAAAAAATGGAGAATTTTTATCGAATATTTAGTATTGAGATTTAGATGCGTTTTCATGGTAATCCATTTTGCGCCATTTATAGATAAACTGAATCCTCTTCTCTGTCATCGCCCTGGTCAAAACCATCTTCTTTGCCTTTAGATAAGTTCGAATCATCTGGGTTGTCTTCGAATTGAATTGAATCTAACTTTTTTTTTGCTTCGTCCAGTAGTTTCTCTAAGTTCAAGAATTGAGACTTCTGAACATTATCAATTCGAGTACATAGATCTTTGGCTGTTTCACATTCGTCCTTTGCTCTTTCAAAATAATCAATCACATCATCTTCTGACGTATCGGACAATTCGCCAGCTTGGATGTAATATCGAGCGAGTTGCTCTCGACAGGCTATCAGATGCACAATATGATTGTCTCTTCCTTGCTGTAATTGGTATATTTCGTTAAAAATATGGGTGATACTTGCATTTGCATCGTAAATGAGTCGTTGTACTGACTTTGAGTAGTAACTTTCGCATTCACTGATCATCCATTCCCAGTATACTGTAGCGCCATCACGGTCACCGAGTAATATCAACATGTCACCAAGACACTTCAATGAGGCGTCGAAATTGTTCATGGCATCGTCCAATGAGGGTACGTAAAATTGTTCAGCTACAGTGTCTGGAATTTCAATTTCGTCATCCTCATCTTCATTATCATTTTGTTCCAGTTCTGTATTGTAATTGTTAATGAAATCGTGCGCCCATTGACACAAGAGGCGCTGATCGAATAGAGTAAGATTAGCTTGATTTTGTCGATAACTATCATTCTTCGCCATTTCTTGTACATAGATTTTACCCAAATTGTCAGTATATGGCAAATCTTTGTAGATTTGTAAGATGGTATAGTCGCATACTGCTTTAAGTGACGTCGTAGATTCGATAGTATGTTTACGTGCAGTCATGCAAGCTTTGACAGCTTTTTTCAAGCAATCAGTTGATTGATCATCTTCAGGATCGCATTGGCAATATCCAGCAGCCACTCTCAACCATAGGTATGGTCCATCAGTTAATGAAATAGATACATATTCCGATACTAGCGCCGTCAAATCATTCAATTTGTTCGCCTCAAGTTTCTTAATAAAATCGATCAATTGTACATTGGTTTCAGTTTGATTGTTACATCGATTGTGCAATGTGCATGATTCGAAATAATGTTCAATGGCTTGGCTGTAATCTTCATTATTTTGTAAAACGAGTGCCCATTGAAAATGGGCGTCAGCCAGATGACGTAGGGTGAAATTTTCATTGCTCGAGATCTTATATGAGCGACTTTGTTCTGCACATAAGCGAAGAATTTCAGACAAAATTTGCACGTAAATACGTTCATCAAAATCAGATTTGTTGTAAGATGGAACATCGAAGTCAAGCGTGATTTTAGCTTTCGAAGACTTTCTGACAATAGCTTTGCAATAGTTGACTAAGCCTTCTTGATCATCAAGACGTCGATAGGCTTCACCTATCTTGCAAACAGTATCCTCTGAAAAGTAATAAAATTACAATGTTCTTCAGGTGAAGATAGAAAACAGTTGGTACGAGATGAATTCATAGCAAGACTCAAACGAAACGTTTGATTCGTCTCGATGAGCTAGAAGAATCTGTATGGCCTATTCAGCTCACTACAAATTAGCGAGAATAAAACTATTCACTTCACAAAATTAGAAATATCTTATAGTCAGATCAGTTTATCGAATGAACAACAGTGTCATAAACACATGTGAGCTTCGTGTAAAACAACACGAAGGAAATATAAATAAACGAAGAGTTATTTAGCAGGACGCCGTCGATCGCACACGAAATAGAGAAAGCTTTTATATGGAAACTGTTTGAAATCTTGTTGCTTGAATATGTTAGATGAAATGGATGCTTCCTACAGCTACAGAAATTATGTTGAATTGTTTATTTAATTTATCAATATTATTTTATGATATAGGAATAAAATTCTACTTCCCTAGGACAGAATGAGATTATTATGTATCATTCTAAACTCCAGTGGCAGGGAAAGCTTTCTTTGCAATACTAAAAGTAGCACTTGTGATTTGTTTTGAATAACTACTTTCAATATTAACTACATTCATGAAGGTGATCATAAACATAGTCAGAATAGAACACTTCACATACACAACTTTTCGTACATTGTACCTAACTCTTACAAAAAATTCTTACTCATTTTTTTTGCAAACATATCTAATGAAATACGGTATATTTTGAATTCTGACAAAATTGTTAGTTGACGTGAATTGGACGGATAACTGTAGCTAGTATGTTTATAGTAGAAACTATGATGCTGTCTACACACGAGTCTTAGCTCGATCTTAAGCAAACATATACATCTCATCAGTATGGAAGTAGTAATTTTGAAAGAAATAGAAATCAACATACCACACTCAGGTGGGAATGATGGCGTAACATTGTCAGTATACTTAATGGAGACTTCGTCCGATTGATTATCATCATCATCATCATCATCGGATTCATCAGAATCATCTGCTGTTTCATCTTGTGTAGTATCATTATCAGTTGATTTCTGACACGTTGAACACTTCGCTTGCACAATAGCTTTTAAGTACAGGTCGTCAATAGGAACTAACTTGTTTGCGGCCTTGTAAAAACCGATGCGCGATTTTTGATGCTTTTTACTAATTGGCATTAATCGACCCAATGCGTAGTAAGTAGAAATGGCTGTTTCTGGTGCCAGTGGTTCTCTAATCGCTACATAATAACAACCAATTGCAGTTTCTTTGTCACTCTGTTGTCGCTCGTAGTATCGACCAACTTTTCGAATAATTTCACCCCAATAACCATCACTGTATCTATATACTTTCGTTTGAATCCATAATGCTTTGTTGTATATATCCTCTGCATTGTCAGGTTTTCCAAGTATCTCGGCATCCGCTAAACGTTCATTATAAAAGGCCATCTATTGAAGATGAGAAACGAGTATTCGCATATCTATTTGTTGCTTCGACACATCTAGTGGATACAGCTCTTCAAGAGTTTCAATACATTTCGATTGTTTGACAATAGCCATTTTCAAGTCCGCTCGTTGAAGATAAAGTTTGGCCAAATGTTGATGCATACTTGCTCGAGCAATCAACCGTTTATGATCATCTCGATTTTCTGTATCTTCGTCATCTTGATCAGTGTCTTCATCAGTGTTCGTTTCGGCAAATTCATAGTTCTGACATGCTTGATCAAATTGATTCAGCTTAGAATAGGTATCACCCATTTGATAGTGAACAAGTTTGATAGCAATATCATCATTAGCTAGATTCAGAGCTTGAACTTTTACGGCATGTTGAAACCATTGAAGAGCATCTCGATATTGACTTCGACGTACACATGATTCGGCCAGAAGGAGATAGTTCGAAGCAAGACTTGGATGGTATTGTGAAAGTGAACGGATCTTGAGTGTAGTTGATTTTGAGTCGGCGTATATGCTGACATTCGAGAAATCGCCTAATTTAAGATAATAACTAGCTAACGCGTCGTATATAATAGCTACCAAACTGATACGGTTGATATCGTTATCATTAACGTTAATAGTAGCTTCTAATTGTTTTAAATCTTCGATCACTTTCATTTTGTCTTTATAACATTTGATATGTGAGAGTGTTAGTTCAACTAATAGTGGTTGATCTTTCAATGGTTTAAATTTATTGAATATAGACATATATACTTGTTGAGCGCTCTCAAGATCGTCTATCAATTCATACATATCGGCAAGAAGTAGAAAGGCGTTAAGATTGTCAGATTCTCTAACAGCTAGATTCAAATACTTGATGGCATCTTTGTAAAGATATAGTTTGGCACACATAAATCCACGCGAAAAATGCATGTTGTGCCAAGACTCTTCTGTTTTTCTTTCGCTAAAGATAAAAAAACAGTTGTTCTCATTTATACTACTAAACAGTTTGTACAAAATGTCGAAATATTTCAAGATTTTCACTGGATGTTTTTATAGAGATATCACTCAGTTAAACACAAAATACATTTCTCTATCGATTAGTTTTTGTTGTGGGAGGAAAGATCAAAGCTCGGTGTTTTCAAATTTTATTGTACGTGTAATTTCACTACATAAAATCAAATCTACGCATAAAGTATAATGGCAAGTGGATTTTGAAAATAATAAATAGGTTTTGAAAATTTTTTCTACATTCTTTTAATTTCTCGAATACAGAAGTAATGCTTATTTCAAACAACGAAACACTATATTCCAAAAGCTTAGTTTATATATTTTTGAAGACATCTTAATTGAGGGCTTCAGTGTTACCTTTTCGATTCTGTCCACGATGCATGTTCTGCTTTTGGATGCAACGTCTCGTTATTGAGCAACTGCGTCTGATCGGACATGAAATATTTGTAGGCTTTGTAGTAAGCTTTATCAATCATTTTTCTTGCCCATTCCATCTCGACATTTTCCGAGGGAAACAGCAATTGTACTAGTTTAGCTTTTCGTTCAAGTTCATAGGCTCGAGTCTACGCACGAATTGCTTTAAAAAATTGGTCTCCATGGTTTATATAACAAACTCCAACAATTTGAACAAGAATAATGAGTTCTTCTTGAGTTACTATTTTTTCCAAAGCGAATAAATTTTTCGCTTGATTATCAATGAGATCGCTCATTGTTATTGTCTCGTAAAGTTCAATAACTTTTTCATAGTTGTCATTATGAGCGAATTCCATGATGATATTCATATGTGCACGCATTAATTTCGGATCATCATCAGGAAGAATGTTAGTATATAGTTTGAGTGCATCGTCATAAAACTTCTGAGCATCGGAGTCTTTGTCAATACTTAACAAATGTCCATAGTTTGTATAGCATTCAGCCTTCGTTAATGCCTTTTCGATTGCATCATGTGTGATTTTGCTAGTCGTCTTTTGATATAATCGAATCGCCTTTTCAAAATATGTATGCGACTTTTCTACACTAGTATAGTCGTTTCTTTTTGCATAATGAACATAGGCGATATTTGCATAGATGGAGGCGAGATGAGCTCTAGTAGTTAAAGGTTCTCGCAGTTGAATGCGCTCAGCCTCTTCAAAAATTGCCTGAGCTTCAGCCATTCGTTTTAGTTTGATGTACGAGAGACCAATATTATTGTAAATTTCTGCTAAAGCATTATTATCAGAATATTCCAATCGAATTTGGCAGTTCAATGCTTGTTTATAATGTTCAATAGCATTGGCATGAAGATTCTGACGGGAATATGTCATACCCAAGCAATTGTAGGCACTGGCCAATACCGGATCGTCTTTGAGAGTCAGCTTACTCTCCGAACATAATGAAGTGAGGTACTTACGTGCTGAACGATATTCGCCAAGCTCAATTAAGTACCGTGCAAGCAAAACAGATAATTGCGGAGCAGAACATTCTTGCACTTTAGCGCGTATATCGTCGACTAATGTTTTATCAATATCGCTAGCAGTCATATGCACTGTATTGAAATTATTTTCTTCTCCTGCCGATGCGTTTGCTTTTGTGGTCGTTCTCATCTATTAAATTAAATTCATTGATTTACATAAGTATAGTTATGATACACCGAAGATGAAGAGAATATTAGGAAACATGTGGCAAAGTCTGTAAAACTATCAAACATATCTCAGAAATTTCAAGAATATTACTAGTTATTGAATATGGGATTGTCTCATTTCCTTTGATCAGTTTCGATCATATTTTCTACATTAATTATTCTAGATAAATCCTCCATATTTAGAATGAAATAAGATCTATTATCACAACATGACTATTTGTTTCTCTTAACTATGGTCAAAATTTGTTGAACATTGAAAAAATAATAATATTAAGGTGGATTAGTGTTGATTTTACTCAATGAACAGAAAAAATAATATTACACGAAAGAACTGTCTGATCTTTTCCTTTTCTATTTCCTAGCAGTTTCACACCATTCTTAAGCATTGAAATAAACGAGAAACATTTGGAAAATAAAAAGTTATAATGGCATTCTCGATTTTAATAAACAAAAATTAGATTCAATTGATGAATCGAATGGTAGTGTTTTTATCTACTCATGGATGGATCTGACATAGATCAATTTAGAAATCAAGATCCAATTTACCAAACTGAACCTAATTTATACTTATAAATTGATTCAAAGATTTGAGCTTGATTCATGAAACCAAATCCTATTTTTAGGGCGGTATTTGAGTTATCAATCGGAATTGTATCTATCTATTAACACAAATTTTGGTATTGTCTACAAATCAGTTAATGTGCGTTCAGACGCAATGCCGAGGATAATATGAAATATCTGGTGAAAAGCATTAAGCAATCGCTTTAATTTTCAATGATATGACATCTAAAAACGTAGAGGCCATATTGTAGATGAATAGGAAACAAAGATTTACAGCAACTAAACATCGAAGTGTTTTTCAATCAACTAGTACAATTGTTTCTTTATCGATGTGTGGCACAATGAACTATTTATTGTCATAATTCTTTTCTCTTAGTATCTATTTATCTACTGAGACAATTTTCAATAATATCGGTAACCCTCTTTTGTTATTTTAATATTCGCTGTGTGCATAAGAAGTAGTGAAAACTGTAATACCTTCGTTTTTTCAAAAGTAATAAAAGATTCGACAGTTTTGTAGTGAGACACTTACTGGCTGGTCCTTGACAAAAGCGCCTGCATCATCAATTTTATCCACCACAAATATTGTGCCTATGCTAAATAGCACCTCTTCTTCTTCTGGATGAAAAGAAATATTTCCGATATAGGCATGAGCTGCACATGGTTTGTCTGGTACGACTGAGATCTTGAACAAAACACGAACATTTCCTTCAGGTAGAAATTGAGTTCGAGCATACTGTTTGGCAATATCAAGGTTAGTGGTAGTCGATATGAAACCACCTATAGAGATCACTTGTCCTTTCTTTTTTTCATCAAGTGACTTTTTCATTTGCTTCAATGCATCGAAACCGATCGAAGCAGCAAGATAATACACGTTCGTTTTATTCGTTTGTGATTGCTCTTGCTTGTACATATATTCTATCATTTTGCACAAATCACTGACATAATAACGATAAGCCATGAGTAGTTCGAAATTTTCAAGTTTCAGAACATTATTTATCTGATGATAGATCGATGCTTCATTACATGAATACCACCAAATTGCATTGGCAAAATTTGGTTTCTCATTTCCTTTTTTCATCGGCTTGAGTTCAGCCTAGAGAGAGTAACAAAAACAATGAATAACATTTAGTCACTACTCAACTGACTTGCTGAACTGCTGTTTGAAGTCTATTCCGTGTATAAGCTATCTTGAACACTTCAGAATAGAGATTCTTCATGTCCCATTCTTGTCGTATCTTCAGTTGACTCTTTTCTTCTTTAGGCAATGCACGAAACACACGACGAACATCATCGAGTGAATATGTTGAATCAGGATAATTTTTTAAATGAACAGCAACATTGTTTACACTTCGTTCTAGTTCTCGCATATTTATTATAAGTTCCTCAGTTAATGTGTGTAAGTTCTTGAGAACACCAGCATTAATGGTACCATGCGTGAGATGCGCTTCTGCATTACGTAGTTGTTTCACTGATTCTTCAATTTTCTGAATGAGGCCACGGTCATTGGTAGCCGAGTTGTTCGATAAAGTATTACTCTACAATATATCTTATTCTAGCACTTATGAAATCATGAAAAACCTAAATGTAATGAGGACATAAGAATTAATAAAGACCAAGAAGAAATTTGAGTGTTCTGGCTTGGAGAAGATATATTATATATATACTTAGAACTGGTGAAAGAAAGTTTGCGTCAGAAATAAGAGTGGGTTACTTATTAAAATGAAAAGATTCCTACCGTTTTGTTGAGTTTGCTGAGATCGTTTTGTAAATAGACATCAAACATGGTGAGAAGATCGGTTCGTGCTACTTTCATATCAAAATCTACGAATGGTTCATCGGTTGTACCCATTTGTAAGAATATTTCTTTGATACGTCGTAGCCAAAGATAGGATCGGGACTGTTCACTGATGTCCGTAATTGTTTTTTTTGTACCATCAAAGATTTTTAACGGAACAGCGAATTCTTCTTGATCTGTATCGAATTTAGTAGGTGCCAGAGTAGATACTGGTACAGACTCAGCATCTCGATTATTATAACGCTCAGCGATCGTCGAAGGTCGACGACGCTCATCGCGAATGTATCTTGTACTCATGATATAGTTGATAGCACTTGAAGATCTAAACATTGGTACAGATGTCATCAAATTTGTTTGGTATGACGATGCATCTAGTTCTGGATAGTTTCAATAGATTTGAAAAATCTTTTACAATTTCTTAGAGGCTCAAAAAGAAGCGCTTGGAACAATATACGTAACTTCTGAAATAACAACCTAACAGACAAAACGTTTCTAGGTTCTATAATAGTCGTTTCGTCCACTAAAGTGAATAGGAGACTGACATTGTTATTGTACAAAACCTTGCTCTTCTATATTGGCCAATTGAATTGCAGCTTCAAAAAGATTCGTTTTATATGTAAGCAATGCAAATGAAATTTTAAGCACAGTCAATAAATGGCATGTGAGATCTGAACGGGGTGTGGGTATGGGAACGGGTGTGTGTGGTTTTTTCCCCACACTCACACACACAGCCGAGCATGGCCTGTCAAATGTAGAAGTCTTAAATATCACTTCTGAGAACCCAACTGCTCTCACTTACTGTGTTTGGTATTTGTAAAACTATACACCAGTAAAGTTTTCTGTAGTTCGTTCCTTTGCATCTTTGCCTACAACAATCTCATTTCTATAGCAAAGATACCGAAGACAAAGCTGTAGTTGGTTGTGATACACGAACTCAACTTGCAAGCAACAGTCGACCAGAAGGTTCGTCATAAAATGAGTTATTTAATTTCAATTTCAATTTACAAAAATTGCTTTCAATTCCAAACTCAGATGAAAATGTAAGCATACTTAGAACTATCAACTACTGCACAACATACAGTAATGAATGATTCTAGAGATCCTTTGGAGTTCTCATTAAAAAAAATCGAAGTCTGTATGGTATAGATTAGTTCTAGGTGAGATATTAGTTTTTATGCATAGTAAGATTCCGTTTCTCATCATATTTCGAGGAATACGTAGCTTTGTTTATGTCTTCTATCGCTCGTGTGATTACAAAAATTGGATATCACTTTTGTTTTTAATTTAGTTTAAAATGAAAAAATACCATAGGCTCAAGCTCATGAAACACAAGATCCCAATGACGAAAGTGAATTATGCTGGAATCTTTAAGAAGAATAGAAGTTAGCTTTATAGTTCTCGACTCGCTCGCAAGAACGAAAATATAACACAAGTGAGAACCATATTTTTCACTAGGGCAATGAGCTGCAAAAAGTATGCTGATACTTACCGTTAAATAGTAACCAAAATCGAGCCGAGTCGAAGAAGAACAAACGAATGTACTAACTGTGAATATAAATGAAAGTAAAAAAGCTAAATAAAAATACGTAGAGAGCAGGTTTTTATCTTTTCTCTACCACAGTGATCACTGAGGCGTAGCTTGTCTTTCTTTCATCTTGAAGGGAAAAAAACAAGCAAGCAGTGTAATAGAAGAATCCGCTGTCAATGCCTTTCTCGACGCGCGTGTAATGAATGCTACCTTAATTAATATATAAAAAGAAAAGATGAAAAATACACTAGTTTACTCCCTTATCTTGACAAAACAGGCACATGTCGTCACGCATGAAGGCCTGCAGTCAGTCAATTTTCTTTTCGTCTTACATATGGATGTGGGTATGGGTGTGTGGATCTGTGGTGTGGGTGTGAGTTACAGCTGCTGGTGTGGAGTGTGGATGGAAAGAGAAGAGATATATCCACACCCACACCAAAATCCACACCTACGCCTACACCAACACTCGAATCCACACCCAACCATCCACCCTTATAATAATATAAAACGGAATATTATTTATTGTGTGATCTGATTCTAATGATAATTTCTTCATTATGTGGATCCTCCTGAATTCGTATACCATAGAATAACACGACACCGGACAACAGTGTGGGACTCAATGGCCAGGAAAGAGAGAAAAAGAGAAGAAATGTAGCATATGTGTAAGTACGGTAGACCAAGAGTCAAAAGACAGCGAAAAGAAGCGCTCCAGTACGCAAAGAAGAAAACGACATAATATTAATATTAGCATACATGACACTCCATACTGGCAAATACGTTAATTGATAATAAAGATTGACTGGATTTGTTCACACGAATCATATGCAGAATTCAAAAACAATGTTTTAAGTTGAGAAAACACATCACTTCTATTTCTCTAAGACTAGCATATAGACGCTTTAGATTTTGGATATGTGCATAAATCGAGTCGACCTACTCACTCTTAAAGATATGGGTGCTTGTGGATTGAAAAACACATTGTATATTAGGAATCACTCTTATGTTCAATGATTTAGAGTGTTATTGGGCGCTTGTAGAATCAGTTCGACGCGCTCGATCTACTCATGATATAAGTTCCTAATTCTGGAGTATTCATGAATATTTGCGATTTTTAAAAATAATTCTACTTTTTAAACTCAATCTTCAAACAACTCCTTTTCTTGAAAGAAAACCTTATATGAAAATCATTTTTTTTTTCAAGAAATCACTTTTGAAAGGATATTACTGATCGAAAAGAAGGATGTAGAGAGTTGAAATATTTAGCGGAGATACAACTCTATAAATTCTAGCTTCAGTAAAAACTTCGGATTTCTGTCTTATTTCAATCATGTGTTATCAAGCATCAAAACAACTGAAAATGCGGATTTTTTGCTCATATTGGATGAGTTATAAAAACTTACGGACTCAACATTTTGAATTGAAAATTCTATCGTAAATAGAACTCATAGAGATATTTGTTCATAAAAAATTGCAGCTCAATCGGTTGACCCGTTTTTGAAATATCGTCCCATCCAGACCCCTATTAATCGAAATATACGTTGTAGATCTTTTCTTAAACACCCATAAAAAGTTGAGTGTTCAATATTTTTCAAAATGGCTTGCGCCAAAATTCATAAAACTGTTCTCTCTACAAAAATATTAAATTGAGCAAAACCTGACGATTATGATTCAGTAGTTTCTCTATGCTTATGATCGTCGCTTATGTGAAATTGCTCATTAGACGTAAAAGTTGGAAAATGCATCTGTGGTATTTTTTTTAGGGCAAGCTTATAAAAGCCTAATATTTTGGGTATGTACCTAACTCGTGTAGGTCTACTCACAAGCAAAAGATATGGGTGTTAGTGGGTGATCGCGTGTTTTACAAAAACCCTATATATAGGTTTGTAGGGCAAGCTGAGCTGTATTAACAGCTGTAGAATATGATTCAATTTTAAAAATAAAAACAAGTTCAAAGAAAAAATTGCGAAACAATTATAGCTCAATTTGAGACAGCTTTTTTTTATTTTTAGGGGTGCCTCAGAAATAGACGTGTGACAGCTTTCACTCAACAGCTTGTGAGAGCAGAATTAAAGAGATAGTGAGCTATGGCAAATATGATTTATGGTAGAAGAATGAGAAAGTAATAGAATATGTATCATACTGGCATATCGCTTAGTTCAATGAATTGATGCATATGTCTGTTTTTGTTTACTGTATTCATTAGAAAAAGACCTAGACTTGATAACATTTTGGCTGTCATCTCTATGAATTCATCGCAAATTTCGGGAATTACCAGACCGCTAACAGAATCGATAGTCGATTATGAAACTAGAATACTCCAGAATTTGAACAAAGAAACCAGATTATATTCTACTTGGCGTGAGAAAGTTTCGATCCGGTGATATAATCTTGAATTTTGTTTTTGAAAGATACGTCGTGAAATTCTCTATAAGATTTGATAAAAGAAATTCTTTTCACTTGATCTCATGATCTCTAACAAGATTAAAAGTATTGATTTACGTGATATACCTATTTCCCACTACTAAAACAGGGGAAAACTTCAGAAATTGTTACTGTTTTGTTTTATAAAATAAGGTTCATCATACTACGGTTCATGACTGGGTACAGTAAAAATGACCGGAGTGCTCGTATTCATTTGCAAAAATCAACAGAGAAAAAAAAACGAGAAGTGGACAAACAAAATGACTCAAGTATTTTGTGACCCACGACATAGTGGAAAATAGTCACATCACGTGAATCAACACTTTTTGTCTTTTTTAGAGACTATTAGAGCAAATCAGAAGAATTCATTTTTTTCAAACTTTGTAGAGAATTTCATGGCACATCGTTCGAAACAAATTCAAGTTTCTATTATTCTTCTATATTGACTTATATACCAAATAAAAGTGTTACAATCATTTTGGTTCAGCCGGTAAGTGAAGAAAGTGAAATTTGAATTAATCTAATTTGTACATAAAATTCATTCCTTATAGTCACACATCTCCCGATCATCTTTAATAAAGGTCTTTTTTCTCTGCCCGCATGAGACTCCACTATCGAAGAAAACTTCTCAACTGTTACCATTTCCGTACAGATATTTGCTAATAAATATTAAATTGTAGACTATCTAATTCTCGCCGTATCAGTAAGAGGCAGTGGAATCAAGTAAAACATAACAACGTTTGTTGTAAGAGAGACCTGATAGGCCCATATCAGCGAGAACAGAATACAATAAATACTAGGTGCTTTCATGAGAAGTCAAACATAAAGTACAAAAGTCTTCAACTTTTTGATATATCATGTCTTGTATATATCTTGCTAATTATTTTTGTAAAACAAGGATTTTCTATGTTCATTAAAAAAAACAATGTAGTCGTCACTCACTATAATGCAGGCCTAGTCTAATTGTTCCTCGAAGAGTATTCAAATTCGCTTTCTGGATTCACGAGAATCCTTGATATTCAACAAAAATATCTTCCTCCTAATCATCCAGATACGACTTCCACTTACATAAATTTAACACACTACATGTTGCACATTAGTCATTGCCTCAAAGTCATCCGCGTGCATGGGGTGCCGGCTAAAAATTGAGCATGTTCGATGAAAATGAGAACATTTAGAGAAAAAACTAACTTTATTATGCAACACAATAATATGCTGATCTAACGTTCAATAGAAATCTCGATATCTCTACTCAATACTAGATGTTTTATCAATCAAGTAAGCCGATACGATTCATTTCTATCTTTTTTTTCATAATAGTTCACCAACAAATATAAAAACGTTC